CACACCTCAAGAGACAACCCACCACACACACGAAAAGATATTTCATTCATGAACAATCAGATGTCAGATGTGAAATCATGCGAGACTTCTTGAAATCTCATGAGAATTCAGATGTCGGAGGAAAAATCTCACGTGACCTCCAGAGAGACGTGAGTTCAGCGTAAATAAACAACTGAGACGAGGAAGAAACAATGTTGATCATTTGTGGACTATTTTTACCAGAGGAAAAACAATTCCATAGGACTTTTAACATCCAGCATACTTTCTGGTGAGTCATGACGTTTTTTTATGTTTTCTGCATTTTGGATTCCTCTCCGTGTTTATGTCACCTCACTTTCTGATTGGCTACATGTCTCATTCAACAGGCTGCGAGCTTGTTTGTTCTCGGGGAACACCACACACACTGTGATATCTGGCCAAAATTCAAACATATTGAATATCCCCGATTTGAGGTTGGAGCGGTCCTGATGTCCTTCCAAGCTGACTAGATCACTCTTAACTCACCACCCACGACAGGAATATCTGCTATGATTATCTTTAGAGCATCACGATAATCTGGACATCCTTAAGCTTGTCGGAAGGGCAAAACTCAGCATGATTATCTTGCCGTGTGATGCAGGCCTCAGCATAGGACTTCTTCGAAGTTTCCAGGCTGAGTGAATGTCAAGTTTAACCAACTTCTGTCCTGTTAAAGAGGCTACAACTACAGTGAGTGGATATTAGTCTACAAAAATATTGGTGGCAGAAAAAAAATTATCCATATAAATGCAGGTTTATTGAAGGAAAGTTTGATAAAGACTACAAAAGACTGTCATAATTCGATTCATTGGTGCAAAAAACCTAAATGTTTTTGAATGCTAATGTTGCATCATGTTGGCTTTTAGGATTTTAAATAACAGACTTTCATATTAACTTTGTTAACAAAAACAAGTGTTAACACTCTTCATGATAATCTGGATGATATTGTCTGCATTGTTCACTCTTCTACACAATGAGACCTTTGCTCCAAGAAAATGTCAGCTTGTAGCTTTCCAAATCCCACTTTAATATCGACGGGCAAAATTCTGGAGGCAATAAAATCTTTCTTTGCCACGAGATGAAGAATATTGCATTAAAGAGCATTGCACAAGAACCTAGGTGCCTGTTCAGGGTGCAGGTAATTAAAATGCCACTGCAACATGTTCCAACTGTATACACTAACCAAGTGGCTGTTGGACTGCTGTCATTTTTCATTTTAAAATATTTACACACAGCAGAGACGCTGACACAGTTCTGCCACAAGTCTTTAGGGGTAGCGGTAATATGACGCAGCTGACGTAAAACAACACAAACACCTCATCTGAGATCCCTGACCAATACTTGAGACGACACGCCTAAGATGATATTAATGAACAATGGCTCTGCAGCAGCTTGTGCAATAACTTAACAAAGAACACCACTTAGCCGTCACTTTTTGATGCCTTTAGGCCATGAATTTAGAGACTGTTTAGTGCTACAAACATTAAGTTTATTTCAAGTATAGTTTTAGCCATGATGACAAAGAACATAAGTCAAAAGTAATTTTACAATCAAACGATACTGCCTTGTTTTTTTTCTTCAATTTCAACTTTTAAAAAGTTAAAAAACAAACTAAACAAAGTCTTCAAGTTCTGTTTTCCACTGTTAATTACAGATCAGTCATTCTAAAAATCAAACACAGGGGGTCTTATTGTTTGCAACTTCTAACTGATGACACTGCTCTAATTACAGCCTCAAGGTGAATCCCATTAATAGACTCTCAGAAAAAAAAACTTTTAATCACTTGTAAATTATAGGAGGTTCGTGATGAATGTGAGTAATTGTCACCATCGAGGAAGGGCGGGGCAGCGTTGGTGTGTTTTACATTTGGTAAAAACTAAAAGATATTTTATTTTATTGTTGATGGTTGTTTTCTACTGAGCCCGTGAGGGGACATGGGGGATTTTTTTTTCTTTTTGCATTCCCACGCAAAAATTATTGTGTTCCCTTGCAAAAGTCGTTGAACACTGTTGTGCCTGCTGGTTTATTAACAAACTCACATGTTCACCATTAGCGAGTTAGCCTACTGCTTTAATTCAGCTTCAGAATGAATATATCACACAACCACGCATGGAAGTATGTCATATGCCGATATTTTAACCCAGTGCAGCCACGCAACATCAATGTCAATTTCACGAACTTGTGGCGACACATCCTGTTTTGGTAACCGGATATTTAAAATAAAAGTCTGATTTAATTCAGTTCATATACAAATCAAACTTTTGCGTGGGAACGCAAAACAATATTGCGAGGTAACGCAAAAGTATTGCGAGGGAACACAAAAGAAAAAAATCCCCCCATGTCCCCTCGCAGGCTTCGTAGTTTTCAGGTCCACTTTAAAATATTTAGTTGGTCATACATCATGAATAGTACTACTACTCATGATGTATGACCAACTACTGTAGTAGAACCAAAGCAGGTGAGCTAGATGTACACAACCTAAAATAGTTAATAAACACTAGCTAAAAGCCAAATATTGACAAAATACTACCTTAAATCTAATTGTAGCAAAAGTCTAGCTCAAAGCCATAAGTAACAAAATGTAATTAAAAGTTCAAAGTAGTGAATGGCTATCTAAAAGTGTAAAAAGCCTAGCTACAAACTGATGTATCAAAAGGCTAGCTCGAAGCTAAAAGTAGTAAAATAATGGCTAAAAAAATAGCAAAAGTCCAGCTAAAAGCAAATTGTAGAGTGAAAGCTAAAGAGTAAACCATAAGCTAATTCCTAAAAGTTACTAGCCTGGTAAAAACCAGCCCCTTGTTCTTCACTTTGCTTCGTACGGAGAGGGTCAGGAACCTTAGCTATTGAGAGGCAATTTCTTGCTGGAGGTGTGGCCTCTGTTGAAGTTTAAAATGTTTGGATCGGATTAATCGCTAACATTTGGCTGTGATGTCTGCAGTGCGCCAGCTCGAGCATGAAGGAGGCTAAGCTAAAGGAAGCTGACCTGAAATTGCTTGTGCTGTAAAAAAAAATAAAAGTTACACAAAAAGACAAAAGTAAAGTTAAAATCTAAAGCAAATTTTAAAGAGAAGTGTATTAAAGTAATTGATCAGATCTCATGTATTTACATTTGTAAAGCTAAATATTTAGAAAAAAATTAAGTTGTAAAAAACACAGCCCATATCTTCTGAATATGCTTAAGTCTTTTTTTTATGAATGGCTAAAAAATAATATGCAAAAATACCATGTTGCTAAAAACATACAAACAATAAAAAATAAATAATAAATAAATAGCTGATTTCACATTTCTCCAGCAACTCTCTAAAAATACAGTTTTAAGGTTACAGCAGAAAGCACAAAACCAAACATGCTACATTCTGGCGGACAGGTTCAAAATGTCAGATACTTTGTGGGATATTTCCAGCTGTAACTAGCTTAGCACCATCACAGGTGGTGATGACCACCTGGCAGCACATTTCAGCACCTCCTGGGACACTTCAGAGGACAGCAGAGCTGCAGCTCAGACAGTCAAGGTAAACAGACAAGTGCATTAGTCTGCTCACAAAGCCTCCGATAGAAAACAATACATGATCTCTTCTCGCTTCACTCCGGATCTCCTTCATCAGGGTTATAAATAGTTTAAAAAATATAACCTTTTAATAGTTTTAAGTCACTTCATCCCTACTTCAGTGTCTGTCATGAGAGACTGACAACATATTTAGTTTTATTTCTTTTAGACAATCAGATTAGGAATAATAGTGTGAATGTTTTCAGGATTTACACTCGTTTTTATAGTCACTGCCGTACATTTTTACAATTAAACTACTGCCTTATCATCCTAATCATTTATATATTAAAACATCTGGCTTGATCAAGCTGAATATGCTTTACTGTTTCTTTTTTTATTTTACTTTTTGAATTATTTACTCTGAATTAAAATATTTTTACCATAGAAATACATTGAAATATCTTTCATTTCTTTCAAAAGCTAGTTTTGCTATTCTCTTTGTGCTCCGTTTAGTTTTTAGCTACTTTCCTGCTAACATTGATCTTGTTGTGTTAATGCAGACTTTTAACTGCAGTTTTGCTTTCAGCTACAATTCTGCCTATTTTTTTAGCTTTTAGCATCACTTTAGCTAGTTTTAGCATTTATTTATTTATTTATTAAACTGTAATGATTCCATCATTAATTTCCTCTTTAACAAATTACAGCACTCAACATTCAAACAGTAATAAAAACATTTTTATTAGTTTTTATTTATTCAACACTAACATTCACTTAATAATTACTTTTTGAAAACTTCGGACACGTAGGCAAAACTGAGACAGCTCCACTTGTTAAGCCCAACAGTGTTCAACTTTTAATAAATATGCTGCTTCAGTACTCAGTGCCTCCTCAGAATACAGACAATAAAAGCCTGATATAAGTTCAAATGCAGCTTGTGATCTCTGACTCTGGCTCTGTGTCCCGGGATTTACTTCCTGAAATTACAAGCTGATACCAGACACAGATACTGAACATTGCAAAAATGTGGAAACAAAACAAGTTTCATCACACTAGGAATGTATCCGTTCCCCTCTTTTTGGTTGCTACTAATCCTTTATCCCCCCTCCCCGCCCTTTGAAGAAACACTGAACCTACTCGTCTACAATAATAGAAAATATCTGCCATGGAATAAACACTCCATCCTGTGAAAGAGAAAGCAGCTCAGTTTGTTGGTCTGTGCTCCCTCACTCTGATCTAACAGTAGAATAGATGAGGCTATTTAAACTTGGTGAGTCTACTCTTGCAGCTTTAGTGAAATGGCTTTTATGATGTTGTTTTCCACAGCAGCCCACAATAAGTGTAGAACAAAAGACAGAAGGAGGATCCATTTCATTCTGCTTGGCTGGAGAAATTATTTATGTGCATAATTTCTATTTAAATAAATGAACAAAAAACAAACAAACAAACCAAAAAAAGAATTGTCACCAGAACAATACAAAGCATGTTAGGGACTTACGATAAGGTCCTCTCCAGCCGTCCTCCTGTCGAGCCGATTATCTCTCCGAGCGTACAGAAAGTCTGGCCCAGAAAGTCCTAGCAGGTGAAAAGGAACGAGGATTATTTGTGCGAAAAAGGCTGAGATGATCAGAAACATCCTGTAATTAAAGGCCAATCGCCAGTCATGACACATACATGTCAATTTCAAAGGATTGTCTGTAAGTTATAAGGATTTGACATCATTTTGCAGATATACGGACGTTTAGAGCAATCTCACGGATTTTTTCCAAGTCTTACGGATTTTTTCAAAACCTCATTTTCAAATTTATCTAACATGTCAGAGCCTATAGGATGATTTAAAAACAATAAATAACATCAAACAGCCATCTTCCAACCTGTTCTGCCGCTAGAAATAGGATTTTTTTTGCAAAATTTACAGATTTTTGAGGCTCTTTATACAGGTAAACGTCCGACAAGGTTGACATGTATGATGACATAATGTAAATGCTAATTCATTGCAAAATTTCAGCGTTGTAGTCATTTTAGTCAAACCTTAAAAATCCTGTTTTCTTATTTCTGGTCACCAGACTCTTTGCTATGTTGTAGAGCTGGGCGGTGTACGGATTCGTACCAATAACGGGTTTATATTTTTGTTATAATATGAATTTTCTGAATACGGACATGTCAGTTTAAATAGCCTGAAAATGTTCGTAACGTTAGTCTTAGTCTAAAACTTGGCCATGAAAGCTTGGCAGGCAACGTGCATTCCTTCAAAGTGTGCCAGGCATTTTTTATTTCCTTTCCCATTTAAAGTGGTGTTCCTGTTGGATCTTTCTGACATTTATGATTCTCCTGCAACAAGAAATCCTCCAGTGTGGCATCTGATAAATCTAACACCAAACAGTGTGACACAGGATTGTATAATATCAAGCTCACACGGTGTGACAAGTACAAGTCCTTTACAATTTTTCAAATTGCACAGCGTCAGCCGGCCTTAACACTTGATGGGTAAGCAACAAACAGGATCCACCCGGTACCACTACTGTGGTAATATATGCTCTGTGGCAATTATGAACAAATGTAAAGATTGATGGGGATTGTGTCAAAGATATTAAAGTCATTAAAGTTCAATCTCATCGCACTGAATGGCAATTTTAAACTGAACATTAACTTTACGATTTAATTGCAGTTTTTAGATGTATATGCATGCCTTAACCCACAGAGGTCAAGTTTTATAAAGAGCTGTATGATTTAACTGCTCATTAACCAATTTATCGTTGTTAAACAGAGCGAGCTGCCGTAAAAGCACGTATCATTAGAGCGGCGAAGGTTTCACAGCCTCACCTAACATCACAGAGAAAAAACATGCGGCAACATAAAAAGCAGGCTTGACGTAGAATGATAAAACAGAAAGCACATCAATAAATGATGATGTTTGTGGTGTGTGGGCTTTAGGTCAGCTGTAGGTGTAAGTCCCGTAAACTGAATGTGTGTGTGGCCTCCGTGTGTGACCTGACATGCAGAATCTGCTTGTAGATTATTGCCTCGAAACAACAAAAGCTATTTCTGCTTTGAAGTGGAGTTCTGAAAGTTTTTTTATGATTTTTTTTTTTTACCTGAGGCAATGACAAAGCGCAGACAGACAAAATGTGGTACAACACAGAGTGGGGAAGCTTTCCAGGTGTTGGTGCTTGTCCGTGATTGGATAAATAAGATGAAAGAATGGGAGAAAATACAATGAAAACAGTGAATGAATCACATCACACAAGATTACAAGTTGCTAAAGGACGCTGCTAAATGATCAGTGAAACAAACAAAGGATAATACTATGACTCATGGCAATAACTGCTGTTTCTGCGAGTTAAAACACTCACCTTCTGCTCTCCCAAATATTTTATTTTGACAAGGAAAAAAAGAGAAAATGAAAAGCCATTACTGGAAATATTAAAATAGCAAAAAACTCAGATTTCAGTCGTAGTAAAAAACAAGTATCGTTTTTACTTATTTGCAATAAATAAACCTTAAAGTGTCTGTGACATGCATATAAAAGTCACGGAAAATACAGTGGTTTGCAAAAGTATTCATACCCCTTGAACTTTTCCATATTTTGTCACATTACAACCACAAACATAAATATATTTC